CAAACCCAAACCCAAACCCAGTGAAAGACGGGGTTTCGGTCAGAATATTGTATGAGCGAACTCTTACTGTACATCTCGTAGTGTTTAAGAAGCAACGTCCAATTGCTAATATTCCTTCTGTATTACCCAAGTAGCTTACAAATGAATTCCACAGTTATGAATTTTTTGTTCTATAATAATAATAATAACTAAATTATGTTTATGGACTACATGCTAATAATCAATTCTAATACGTTTTATTAAAAAGATGCATCAGAATTTTTTAGTTTGTTTTATGTCCATATAATATTAAAAAATCATCAAAAAACTACATAACTCTTCTAAATAAAAATCTAAATATAAGCTTAATAATTTTTAAAACATAGAAGCTAAGAAAATTTTTCAACTATCATAAAAATATAGAGAAATAATTTATAAAAATATATAAATCCAATAATATTTTCTATGAATTTACAAATTTTAATATCACCTAGCTTTATTGATGTAAATTATGGGTTAAAATTCCACTTTGTGTTTAAAATTTATGAAACAATTCTTATTATTATTTTTTTTTATCAATATACTTTTTGATTTTAGGTTGTTGAATGGAGTATTAAAGAAAATTGTCCCATAACAAAATGGGTTTTTTTTTCTATCTTTAAATAATCAACTTTACTAAATTCATTTATTTAATGAAATTGATATAGGGTAAATTTAATAGAAAAATAACTCAATAAATAATCAAAGTAGAGTGATTTTGAAAAGCCATTATATCAAAAATTATTTTAAATTAAATCCTCAATGATAAAGCATTCAAATTTTAAATTGAAAAGTAGACATGGATAATGAAAGCTTAAATAGTTTTTGATTTGATTTATTTTCAAAATTTATATTTATTCTGCTTTTTTTATATCTAAAAATGAAAACGATTTCAACTAAATAAGAATTAAAAACTTTGGATCACCTAAGATTGAATTTATTTTAGACTTATCAATTAAAAAAAATTGAGAATTGAACTACTTCACAAACTAATAGTAGAGGTGTGAATATTAATAAAATATCATTCATAAAATATTTATATGAGTTATTTTATCTACATTTAAAGATTACTTTAATTTTTATGCTATTTTTATTATAATAGTAGAATGGCTTTCTTTTTAAAAAGATAAAGATATTAATTAGATAAGTAGTAAAAATAAATATATTATTTTCCTTTCTATTTTAACTAAGAAAAAATTTATCTCTAGTTGTCAGCTTCGCATTTACTAAGTTAATTATTATTCCCCATAAGGATTAGTTGAAACAGATCGAATCTCATATCAAATTAAATATTAGATGCATTTTTAATTAATTA